TCCTAAGAGACTCTTTAGGAGTTCTGAACTTCATAAACACTAAATATTATTAGGCAGTACTTAATGAACAGACCCCATGGAAGAAACTAGTATGCCTGCACTAGAGTGCTATTATATTTTAAGGCAGTAAAAAGGTTTTTCCCCCACTCTAATGCACTTGCACATAAATTTTATCATACGCATTCTATGCAAACATTGTTCTGTATAAAGTACCAATTTCAGGAAGTTAAAAAAAAAAGCAAATGGACAGACCTGATTTTCTAATTTCATGTAATTGCATTTGGTCACGTATGGATTCTGAAACCATTTCATTTAAAATAAACCTTAACAATAACTTAATAGTTTCAATTGTTTACACTAATTTCATTTACCTTGGTACTAATTTATTTGAAAGAAAGACTTTAACCTCATTTACTACTAGGAACATAGTAGCAGCAGGTGTTCCTTCAATGAGACGGAGAAATAGCGAATTTACTATTTTACTCAAACAGTCTGGTAACTCCTAAAAGCAGAGAAATGTAAATTGTTTCAAATTAAAAAAGTATCACTTGTGTTCATATGTGATGCATAAACCAAAAAAATGCACTGCTATCTCATGGTGATCCTGCAGAACTAACTGCCTTTGAGGGTTTCAAGACTGCAGCTCTTTAGGGACTAAAGAGAAAGCCTTTCTTGAGTGGCTGGTGGTTTCAAACTGCTGACCTCTTGGGGTTAGTAATCCAATGCCTCACCACAAAGCCATTGGATCAGCTCAAATAGATAAAAACTTCTTAAAGAATCCATTACCTCGGTATATTTTAATTGTATGTACAAACTTTTAAATCGAAAATACCTGAATTTCAGTAATAGTTTTATAACCTCTATGTTGACCTCTTTCCTATATAAATCTTGACATTTTGTGGGGTATTGCTACTAGGGATCTGGTTCAAAGATGTCTCTGTGATCAGTAGATGGTGGTAGGCGAGTGCTCTCAGAAATGTGCTTAGTCTCATTTGGGTCTTTCCCAAAATGGCCCTACAACATGGTGGCTTTCAAGGAAATCTGCGAGGCCGGTTCAATTCAAGGCATAGAGGTTATATAGACGATTTTTCAGACTTCATAGGGGGTAATCTTAAAAGATTTCCTCCAAAGACACAGGACAATTCCGGTGCTCATTAGTAAGCTTTAACTGAAAACTGCACTGGTAAGACAGATGTGAGGAAAGTTGTACTAAAGCATTTTTTCCCACGACCACGCACGCACATGGCTTGTTTTGGAAAGGGTAGCAAGGTCTATCCTTTGAAAATTTCATTGGGAAACTTTCCTCCATTACTCCTACAGCCCTGATATTACCCTTTTAGTTTTTTGCTCTCGCAACTCAAAGAACTCTTGAAAGCAACACAATTGAGTCCCATAGATTCCCAAACTGATGTGGTACACACTGGGGTGTACAGTTGTGGGAAAGTTCGAGATGTAAATACTATTTTCAGAAGTGCATAAATCTAGATGGAAGGTATGTTGAGAAACAACAGCTTTAGATTCTGATATATTTAATAAAGCTTTCTGAGTCTGGAGTATTACTTTCTGATCTATCTTCATATACATAAACTCAAACTAGTAGCACAAAGATGTTGACAACAGTAAAATTATAGAATGATGGTATTGAGACAATTTAATTTTCTATGAATATTTATATAACAGCAATTCTTTTCTCAAATTCAGGTACATAAATTTATAATTGCAAACAAAGATTGAATAATGTATCTGCAAAATTTCTGTAAATATCTAATGTGAAAAATATACAATATATTTTGATACAATATAAATTGATTTTGGGGAAAGTATGTATCCTAAAGATCTGCCCTTACTCATTAAAAAATAAATACAACTTTAAATATATGAACACACAGTCATTTGCAAATGCTCTAACTTCCCAATCCTCAAGGACTGTGACTCTCCTGTCAAGCGTTTTTATTGCCCAAGTACAGCAGGCCCAGAACTGCACAAAAATGTCAGGAGAGGAAAAGGAAAACAAGAGGATAAAAGCAAGTTTCCAATAAACAAGAAATCAGAGAACACCTAATAAAGTAAAATGAACAAAACTTAGACAACCAATTCCATAACTTCACCTATCTTTTGATTCTTCCTTGTGCATGTTTAATATTGAAGCTACATGACATTTTTTCTACAAGGGATACGATCACATAACCCTAAACATGTGGTATTGAGGACCTGAAATTTTCATTTAACCTATTTATTAAAGGGATTCACCAACAATCTTGGACTTGTGGTTTTATCTTTAGGGCAAAGTAAAATAAAGCTAATAAAAATTACAAAGTCTTAGCCTTTAATTGTAGTTTACATGTAGACTGATTGTGTTTTTAAGGTGTTTTTCATTTAATAGCCTGAAATTTATTCAAGAGTTCTGATTTATATCCCCAAATTTTATGTATTTCAGAAACAAATTTACAGAAAAACAAACCTCGATATGACATTTGATCATTTGGTGATTTATCTTAATTTATAATGATGCAAATGTTTAATAGCATCTCCTCACTTAAAAAGAGTATGAATTTGTTTCTCTATTTCTTCTATTTCTTGAGACTTAATATTTTCATTATGAACAAACTGCTAATCTGCGCATAAGTGGTAAAATTAGACTATGGAACCATTTCCATAAAATGTTTATCTTTCAAAATACATTTTAACAAGAATGTTTTCAGTTAAAAAGTTTTAACTTGTATTAGAAGGACTTCCTCCAATTAAAAATTTTAAAACATGTATTGACTCATGTATACTCTATTATGCAAGCCATTATTTACTTTTGAGTGTGAAACTAAATCACAGAAGTTAAATTGGTTGTCTACAATCAAGTAAAGCCAGGGTTTGAGTAAGACAACATTAAATTTACCTGTATACCTAATAACCTCATAAAAGTTAAAAATATACAAGTGTTAATATATATAATTTCTAAAACTTAAACAAGGTGAGTTGGCTTGTTAGTTTTTACTTACTAGTTACAACTATCTCTTGAAAATACTTACATACCAGCTAAGAAATAAAGGTTTTCTCAGGATTGTGTGTATTTATAAAATATTATTTTATTCGTTTAATTTTACAGGCAGTCTCTATCCAAATTTTAAAAAACATTTTTCAATTATTTTATTTATAGGTGAAAGTTTACAAAGTGAATTGTTTCCATTTAACAATTTCATAAAAATTGTTCCATGACATTGTTTACAATATTCATCATGTGTAACATTTTCATTTTTTCCAGTTTGTTTCCATGGATCAAACTTTCCTACCGCTTCCCTCCTTCCTTCTCATCTTTGCTCTTAGGTAAACGTTGACCAAATGGTTAAGGAACTCACTACTCATGGGTGATATTTACTTTATAATCCAATCTATTGTTTGGGTGAAAGATGATCTCTAAATTAGGAGTGGTTTCAGTTAAAACCACTGAAAAACTATTTTAGAGCAATCATCTTGGGGTTATATCTTTCCTTCTCACAAGTATGGTCTTTTTAATTAGGAATTTCAGTTTGGGCCTACATTTCCCCCCATTTTAATTGGGGCTTCTATTGTGTCCCTGGTCAGAATAATTGGTTATGATAGCCCAAGCACCATCCAGTTCTTCTGGTCTCAGGTTAGAAGAGGCTGTGGTTCTTGTTGGCTAGTAGGCTTGTAGGCTCATTTTTTTCTTGACTCTTTGGTTTCCTTCATTCTCCTTTACTCCAGACAAGTTGAGACTGAGTTGTATGTTATACGGCCACTCACAAGCTTTTAAGACCCTAGGTACTACTTACCAAAATATTAACTTTATAATCTACATCATGGTAACTGACTAATTTATCCCCCAAACCTATGGTCTCCACAACCGTTCAACTTAGTAAACCAACTCCAGTTGTTTGGATGTGTCTCGGGAGTTTCTCGAACTGTATTCCCTATGTGCTTATCATTTCTATGGACATATGCAGCACATACAGACTTGTATTTACATGTCTATCAATACCTATCCTACACATGATGCACTCACATGTACCTTCCTACAGACATATATGCACATATTTCTACCTATGTAACCACATACCTATTTTTTGGTGGTGGTTATTGTTGTTAATCAGGACTTTAAAAAGCAACATTTTTTTCAAGTATTGTCACAGAAATCCGAAAAGTTAATTCAGAATACAAAATCTGCTTACCACTGGAATACATTTACTTAATAATGAGGTAAAGTTCTTTACTTTATCTATGGAATTATGTTATATAGCAACAGATAAACAAATATTAACTGTGCTTGAGGATTACTATGAATTACAAAAGTATACCTGTTCACAATCTCCATTTATCTATTCCTAATCATGTATATATATATAAGGTTTCCTAATATCTAAATACAAGTTTAGAAAAATGTTATTTTATCTCCTGTTCTTGCCATTTGTAGGGGGAAAAATATTGGTATAGAATTCAAGAGATGGATATTTCTAAGTCTAGTGTTCCCATGTTGTCATCTTTTGGGCTTCAGAGCTCTATAAAAAAATGAGAAGTTAGCCAATATATATGATTTACCCTTGGCTCCAAAGCCTATGATTTGAAAATAGCCAGTTGTTTTCCAGGCTTTGAAGATCAATTTTACAGACTTGTATATTTTTCCTTTAATTCTCTATCACAATTACCTTCACTTGTTGCACGTACAACTTTTTAATTGTGAAAAAGGCGGAGACTTCTCCTGCAGAATCTGGCTAAATGAGAACCACATGTACACGTTCTCACTTACCTACACACTAGACTAGATACACACTCAGGGCTGCCTGTCACATTACTTCTGTTGTAGTTTCCGTTTTTTTTCTTTTTGTTTGTTCATTCTTAAATCACAACCCTAATCCATTTAATTCAATATATCTAAATACTTTAAAAAGGTTACTTTGAAACGTTTTTCTCTGACGGAATGTTAGTTCTTAGAAATATTCGCCTGAGTACTACCAAAAGTAAATAACTGAAGGAAATAATCTTTTGTACTCTTGTCCATTTAACATTTTTATTACGAATAAAATATCAATCATATTATAATTTTGAATTTAAAGACTACTTAAAGAATTCAAGAGCTATTACACAATTCAATTAGGGTCTTTGCACTTAAGATTCAAACAAAAACTTATTTTAATATATCAAAAGAAGTTAGCATGTTAAATTCAATGCTTCATATAGGGTTAAAAACAATAATTTCCAAAGCCACCATGTAACTGACAATAATGAGGAAAAACAATGCATTTTTTCCCTATTACTAGTCTTGCTGAAAAAAGAGCCCATTGAGAAACTGCAATGTTAGTTATGCAGAGACAACATTCCAGTCAGCTAGGGTTCTGAAAGGAACATTTTCCTATCATTCTTGGAGCCCATATTTCAAGATATAGAAGAAAACACCCACACAAACTCCAATATTACACCAAAGTCCCCCTTCACCCCAAATCATAAAACCTCTAACACCTAAATATATTGAAAGGCTGTTAACTTACATTTATTAGTTGGATTTTTCAAATATGTTAAGGGCTTTATAAAACTCATAATTAAGTCCTTGATATCTAAAGAACAACGAATACAAATAAAAATCTTATGATATAACCTATCTTTGACAATCATGGTAAAATTGAGATTTTATTGCTTTAATATTAGACTTATGACGAGATACTTGTTCATGTAAATAATGTATTTATTGTAATGAAAAGGAAACTCAATGTACAGAAATTAACATAGAAAAAAAGAAAAATTCTTAAAGACTAGTTTGGTGCTAATATGTCATTCAAAAATTGCCTTTTAAACCCAAAGGACATAGCTTGCTTAATTTATTCCACTACCAAAAAAGAACATCAACTTATGTCATCAATGCCAGAATTACATATGCAAAAAGCGTTGACCTGGCAAATGTTGAGTTACATATATTTTACAAAATCAAATATATTTTGAACTGTTAAAAAGATGATTGCCACAAAATGATTATTGGACAAAAAAGGAGGGAGGCCACTGACATTTTTACAATGAAAAAATATCTAAAACCAATTTGTAATGGGCTGAAAAAACCAAAAAATTTTTTTAAAGTAAGGAAACAGCTAATCTGGTTACATTTGAAATTTTAATTATTATACTTTTAATAGGGGAGGTAAATGCTTAAATTATGGTTTCATCTAAGTGTATGAAAAAAGAAGACAAGAGTACACATATCATTTTATAATTTATAGAAGTATACTATCAAGCGACACCCTTCACTCAAGACAATAAAACAAAAACACCAAATCAAATGAACTTCTTAGGCACAAACTTTGCAGTCTCTTTTCATCAGAAGTATCTTTTTCATTAAATAAGAAAGTTGTTATGTATTAGAAGACTCTGAAAACTGGTAAAAACGCATTCAAAGTTTAATCAAATGTTCCCTCTTCAGTATAAAAGTTTACAGATGATTTTCATGTTCCATCACAGTTACATGGTCTAGTGCATTTCAGAGTATTTGGAAATTATCAAAGTTGCCCCTTCCCAATGAAAACATTTAAGAAAACTTTTCACACAAGCTGTTAAAGTGTCATGATACATAATCTACTTATTATACTTTTGGCTCTCACTTTTACAAATGTTATTATTCCCCAAAGAAATAACTATTCTACTGTTTCTCCCAAGTGATAGTTTGTTAGGAAAAAAGTTTGGACTCATCCTAATTTTTTTCTTCTTTTCCTTGTTTGTTTTTTTTTGGGTAAAGTACTTTCCATCACACGTTACATCATCTTTCAGAGGATTAAGAGTCGCTGGGAAGTAGGTGTGTATTTTCAGTAAGATCATGCTGGTGGTTATGGTTAAATCACATCTAGTGTGAAATTTCGAATTACATCCAGAGCTCCAGTATCAAAGCCACACATATCCAACATGCCTCGATCATCTGGATCTGCAATGGTGAAACCATTGTCTGTCATTCCACAAACAATTAATTTGGCCGGAATACCCATTTTCTGTAGAAAAAGATCAAAATAATATTTTAAAAGCTATTTAAAGAGCAAATACCCTCCAAAATTAAACTACTTTAAAATAATCTCTGTACTACAGCTTTTCATTATACATTTCTTTCCCTGCCATAAAATTTGTCATCTCCTAGAGCAAAGTCCACCATGCGCAGTCAGTAATTTCTGCCAGGTATTTGGAGGAGCCAGACATTTTTACCAATATATCAAACACTAGAGCAGTATGTATAAGTATATGTAAACATAAGGAGATATCCTCTGGATTTATCAATTTGATTATAACTTTGATACTTAAAATATTCAAAAGTCCCATGGAAGAACGTATTAATATCCTCTACAGCAACAATTTAAGATTAAAATAATTTTAATAATTTTGCAGTAAGTGTGAACTGTCAGAGACTGTAATAAACTCTTTAATTGTTCTAATCATTCTTATAACCGTGCAAAAAGTAAGTACTAGTAGCCACCATGACTTGTGTTTTTTATATAATCTGTTTAAGCCCACAGTCAGAGGAAGAGACAGACATAGGATGGATTCCAAATTTGTTCTTTTCACCTGTACTTCTTAAAGATAAATGTACATCTGAATCTGGATGGTTTGGTAAAACATACATGGCTGGGTCTCATTCCCATAGCCTTGATTCAGCAAGAATTTGATGTTGCCTAAGTGTTTGCATTTTTACCAATGTCCCAGATGACGCTAGACTACTGGAGGAGCACATGGCTCTTTATCAACCAGGTTTCCCCTCCTTCCAGTTAGCTAGCCACAATCCACGTGCTCCACAGCCGCCTATGGCTCGCAGTAGCTTTAATAGACAGTGCAGATACAGAACACTGCCATCATTTCAGAAAGATTTATTAGCATGCATAAAGGAAAATTATTTAAGTCCTTAAGCAAAATTCACAATGGATCCTTTTAATTTTACAGTAAACAAAACCAATCATAAAAGATGTTGCTTTTGCTGTCGGGCTCTGTCAAGTCAGTTCTGATTCAGAGACCCTAAGGTAACAAAAGGAAACGCGGCTTGGTTTGTGCCATCATGACTCTTGGTAGTTGTTGCTGTTTGAGCCCACTAGTACTGTCACTATGCTAATCCATCTCTTTGAAGGTCTTTCTCTTTTTCGCTGATCTTCTCTAGGGATTAGTGTCTCCTGATGATATGCCCAGAGCACACAGGTGATGTCTCACTATGTTTGCTTCTTCTTCTTCTTCTTTTTACTATGTTTGCTTCTAATGAGCATTCTGGGTGTACTTTGTCCAAGCCAGACAAGCTTATCTATTTATCACTATGTTGTGCTGGTCCAAATGGGTTGTTTTCCCCTTTTGACGTGAAATCTGTAGCCTTTGTTCTTCATCAGCAAGTGCTTCAAATTCTCCTTGCTTTCAGCAAGCATATCATCTGCATTATCACAGATTAATGATCATTCCTCTAAAGATAGTCCATCTTACTGGATTATTTACTCAGTATACATATTTAATACAGAAAGTATGCAAACTTGACATATACCTTTCCTGATTTTAAATCACTCAGTATCTCCTTGTTTTATTTGAATGACCACCTCTTAGTTTATACACAGATTCTGCATGAGCACAAGTGTTCTTGGGTTTCCATGCCTCATGTGCTGTCTATAATTTATTATGAACCAGAGTCGGAGGCCACTGCATAGTCAGTAAAACACAAACAAACATCTCTGGATTATCTTTTCAGCCAAGAATTATCAGACACCAGCAATGATACCCCTGTTCTATGTCTTCTCTTGAAGTTGGCTTGAATTCTGGCAATTCCCTGCTAACATATTGCTGTATGTGATTTTGAATTATCTTCTGCAAAGTTTTACTTGCGTGTGCTATTAGTTATAATGTTCAATAATTTCTGAATTCTGATAGATCATCTGTCCTTGGAATGGATACAAATATGGAGCTCTCTTGGCAAAGATGAGTACTTACTGTGCTGCACCTCTGTTGAAACATCTTAGTAGTCTGTCAATCCCTGGAACCTCGAATATATATGTATATATATATATTCAATATAATTAGTTCTTGCTAACTTGAGACCCCTGAAATGGTTGAATACTAACAGTTCTTTCAGGTACAGGAAGTCTGCATACCTTCCATATTCTATTAATGCTTCCTAGGTCACTATATCCACCCTCCTAGAATCCTTCAACTTGAGGCTTGATTTTCTTTTTTCTTCAAGTTGAAAACTAACAAGCATATTCTTTCTCTGTTTAATCCAAGTCTTTGTATAATTCCTCATACTATACTTTTTTCATCTTGAATGGTTCTTTGAAATCTGTTTTTCTTTTTCCTCCTCCCAATTGATTTAGCTATGCTACATGAAAGAACAAACTTAATATATAAACTCGAGTATAAGCCTACCCGAGTATCAGCCAAGGCACCTAACTTTACCACAAAACGGCATAAAAAATGTGCTGAAAAAAACTCGGCTTATACACGAGTATATATGGTAGTTTTTTTCTTGCATCCATTTGGGGCTTTTCTTTCTTGTCTCTCTGTAATGACCTTTGCTTTATGTATGATGTCCTTGATGTCAGCCCACAACTAAACTGGTCTTTGGTCATTAGTGTACAATGAGTCAAATCTATTTTTGAGATGATCTGTAAGTTCAGGTGGGATCTACTGAAGGTTGTACTTTTGCTCTCATAAGTTTTAATATTCTTCAGCTTCAATTTTGTGTATGAGAAATTAGTGGTCTGTCCCACAGTTGGCCCCTGGCCATGTTTTGACTAGTACTGAACTTCATCAAGATCACTTTACATATATGTAGAGGATTTGATTCCTGTGTATGATTTCCATTGCAGATGAAATAATTTGTAGCTAAGATATAAGGAGCCTTGTCATAGTGGGATACTCAGTGGGCTGCTAATGGAAATGTTTGAATTTGACTCCACCAGCACTCCATGGAAGAAATAGGAGTCTTATTGCTTTTGTAAAGATTTATAGCCTTAAAAACCTCAAACAGCAGTTCTACCCTGTCCTATATGGTTGCTATATATCAGAAATGTCTACCTGGAAGTAGTATCTATTTCTGTTGAGTATTAGAAAGAATATTGTTTGAAAAGGTTATTATAGCATTGAAACTGGTTGGAAAAAAATTAAGGGTGGCCTTTATTTCAAGTAATTATGAATCTATAACTGGCATTAGATTCCTATACAATGATACAGAAGTGGCTGTAGAAATAGTTTATAAAAGGTTATATCTAAGAAATTAGTGTGGTAATTACATAATCTCCTGCCAACTTGAGAAGGGGTGGAGTCTAGCCTGTCAATCAGGTCACCGCTTGATGACCACCTCTGGAAGTGTGAAGGAGATAAATAGATCACTGGAGGGCAGACAGATTCTGCTTTGTATTCCTGCTGACAAGACACATGGAGCTACACTAGAGCCCTGGAGATGGAGGAGGCACCTGCCAGCGTTGAGATGCTTCCACTGCCACTGAATCCGTAAGACTTTCCACCCACTGTTCTGTGATCTTTTTGCATTCAGCATCATTGCATATGTTTCATGAGTCTGAAGAGGAATTTTTAGACTATTATCGGATATGTGGGCTAACACAGGACTTAGGGACTTGATCTGGAGAGGGGTAGGGTGTTTTCTCAATATACAATTGCTCTTTTATATAAAGCTCTTTCTTATACACATAGGAGTGTCTATGAATTTGTTCCTCTAGTCAATCCAGAGTACACCTTAGTATTATATGGGATGAAAAAACATATCAGAATAAATTTTACCTTTCTATATTCCCTTAGAGCAGCAGCAGGATGAACATTTCCAATTAAGGTCTCATTATCAGTGAATACAATGAAGACATCAGCAGCTGTGTTTGTTTTCTGAGCCCAGATCATTGGAAGAGCACAATCTGTTTCACCTGCTGGGATCTAATTTACACACACACACAATAAAAGTAAATAAGTGCCCTATATTGTACAACAATAGTATTTCTAGTATCATCTTTTTGTTCAGAGCCAATATATAGGTTTTCACAAATCCTGTATATATCGTTTGTAATGGTTTTTGCTTCTCAGGAGAAAATTAATAACAATTTATTCTCCAAAAGTGTATATAAAATTATTATATAATGCAAGTTAGGTAAATTTAGTAAGTAAATTTCTTACCTGATTCATAGCTATTAAAACCTCTTGTAAAGTCATATCTGGAGTGACTAGACATCGTACCATTTCATCTGAAAAAGCTACTACGTGAGACTCTTTTTCTGTCCGTGTGACAATCTGAAAAATTCAATGGTATTAATTTTCAACAGATTCTGAGGAAAAGAATTCGACATAGTGAAACTTGTGAGAGCCAGAACACAACTGCCTGGATCTTCCGAGTCTTGTTTTCCCTGGTTCTCAGGGTGCAATCCTCGCACTTTTGTACTGCCTGTTTTAGTGGAAATACTATCGTTTTCCACATCAGACAGGTTTATGCCTTACCAAGGTTTGGGCTTTCACAGGTTTTACTGGATTTCGAAGTTCATAAAACTTCAAGAGAAACCATCTTATGATGTTTACATCACTAAGCTTTATTTTGTTTTGGAGCTAGTAAGAGATAACAGTAGTTCAAAGTTCATTCACCAAGAAATTGGTTCTTAAAATTCTCTCCAGCATTGTGATGAGATGTAAGAGGCCCCAATAAAGATATTAAAAAAAAAAATTCAAGCAAATGGAGTATTATTTTCATTTTTATTTTGTGAGGAATAGTCACAGAACAAAAGCTAAGAATCTTCCCTATGATTTGTCTACTATTGAGTTACAGATGACTAGAACTTAAGAACTGGATTCTTTTAACAGGTTTCTTAATGGTCTTTAACTTCTGTATTCTTTAAGTAAATTCCTAACCATGGTTTTATCAAACATATTGTTGATCCTTTTGTTATAAAAATTATAATTTCTATTCTGAAAATTCTGTAGATTTTTTATACACTTAAAATTTTTGCCTTAAAAATTACATGGTTATGAAAAGATAGAGAAATGTGCAAAGTACGTGAAAACATGATTTTTGATATCTAATTTTTCATAGTTTTACCCCATTCTACAGATTTGCTTATGATTTCAAAAATTCTCGATTGTCTTAGTTTTCTTACCATACACATTGCTGCAGCAACGGCACTAGCATTCAGTACACTGCCCAAAACTCTTTGGTTCATGGAAGCACTGACATCAACAGCCAGCAAGAAACGCTTTCCAGTTGGTTCAACTGTCTAGAGTGGAAAAGATTAAAAAAAAAAAAAATCAGTAAATGCAATCATAGAAACCGCATGTAAAGTTTCTAATAAATCCGATTTCACAATTTTTCATTCTAAAGACTTACAAGGAAATGTCATTTTATTTAAAGGAGTCCTTGTGTATGTATATATGTATATTATACATACTTTACTTAAATATGAGTATATTAGAATATAGGCATTATGGTATATATATTTACATTAAGGTATATGTTTAAATAAAATAAAATATACATGAGTTTTAAAAAGTTCTTAGAAAAATTTCATTTTCTTTCAATTTCATTTTTACATGAATCTTTTGAAGCCCTCTTGTATATATTCACATGTCTTTTTCACTAAAGGAACATAAGAATTTGTAACAAAAAAATTTAAAAATCAAAACTGTTAATTTGTGGGTCTGACACGTGATTTCCATTACTAAAAAAGCAACCAACTAACCAACTAAATTTCCCTTCTTAACAAAGCAAATGGCCATTATTGATTGATTATGGGGGAACACAGGACTGAAGACCATGTGAAAGGACAACAAGAATGCAAAGGTTTAAATTTGGAAAAGAAAAATTATAAAAAGGATATTAGGTCAATTAGTTGTTACTCAAAGTCAGGGAAAAACATTTTATTTCATAAAATTATAACAAACGTATATATGCCTACTCTTCAGTTACTATCTTTTTATCTCAACAATGTACATTTATAATGAGAATGAAATATCTACCATTTGATTATTTTGCACATAATAAGGTTATTATCATATAAAAATTAATAAACATGAGGTGTGAGTAACACTATCTGTGATGGTTAAGATTATCTGTAAACTTACTATTCTATTATTCTCAGTGGTTTGGCTGGAACGTAATGATGTAGTCTTCCTTTGATGTTTAGCAAACCAACTTTCCGTAATGAGTTTGCTTTTAGAACAAAATCTTGTCAGCAAGTGAGGAGTGGGTGTATTTATATGAGCTAAGAAGATGACTAATTTAGTATGTAACCCCAAATGATTTTAACTATTAATCTCACTGCCATCGAGTTGATGTCGACTATAGTGACCTTATAGAAGCCTTGATGGTCGTGGTTAAGCATTGTGCTGCAATCTGCATGGTTGTCTGTCTGAAACCACCAAGAACTACACCAGGATAAAGACTGAGCACTTTACTCCTGTAAACAGTGACAGCCTTGGAAACCCACAGGGGAATGCTTGGAGTACGCAATGACTCGATGGCAGTGAGTTTTTAGGATATAGAGACCATATAGGACAAGTGAAACTGCCCTTATAAGTTTCTGAGACTGTAACTACGGGAGTAGAAAGTCCCATCTAGTGGATCTGAACTGCTGACCTTGAGGTTAGCAGTTCAATGGATCAGCACTATTCCACCAGTCCTCTGACCAGTAAAATGTTTTTGTAAGATATTAAATCAAATTATTACCTTAAATGTTTTGTAAAAAGCTTCATCTAATGCCTTAAAAATCTCATTATCAGGGCACCACTTCAGTTTTCCTCTGAGCCCATGCCCTGTTTTGTACGTTTCTCGCGCAAGCAAAACATGAAATGGATGTATACGAGCCTAGAAACAAGACAACAGAAAGTAAATGTACAAGTCAAGTTAAATATAATACTAATTATCTTCTTGGATCTTTATATTGTTCTTAGTATTAAGTAAATATCTTTCAAAAAGGGAGGGGGGGGAAGAAAACGGAGGACATATTAACCTTAGGTTATGAGTAAAAAAAGAAATTTGGTATGAGAAAAAAAATCTCAGAATACCTGAAAATTACAATGACTGCATTTCTAAAATTTAGAAACCAATTTTTTGAATTAATAGGAGCTAAGAAAGGACACTGAAAATGCTTACCTTTTTTAACAGCTTATCATTACACAATTTTTCACATACTAAAGATACTTCTGAACTTCCAGGTTCAAGCACCGAATTAGCAGTCATCTTTCCCAGATTCCTTAGTAATGCTGTAAGAGGCATTTCTTGCAACAAAGCCTTCCATACCTATTGTAGCAACATACATAGATGGATAAGGAATCAAAAGGGAAATGAACTGGTGTAACATAGTAATATCATAATATATTGCCTAAGTCAGAAGTTCTTAACCTATGGATTGCGACCCCTTTGAGGGTCGAACGACCCTTTCACAGGGGTTCCCTAAGACCATCAGAAAACACATTTCCGATGGTCTTAGTAACCGAGACACGCTCCTCTGTGTCCAGGCGGGTCTGCCCACATGCAGATATGCCCACATATGAGTACCCAGCTTGATGACTGTTATCCATGCTACACCATGCTTCAAGGCAAAATTTCATTTATTTGTAATTAGAAATAAATATTTCACAATATATAATTACATACTGTTTTTGTGAATAATCACTATGCTTTAATTATGTTCAATTTGTAATAATGAATATATATCCTGCATATCAGATATTTACATGACGATTCATAAGAGTGGCAAAATTACAGTTATGAAGTAGCAATGAATATAGTTTTATGGTTGGGGTCACCACAACATGAGGAACTGTATTAAAGGGTCATGGCATTAGGAAGGTTGAGAACCACTGGTCTTAGCCTTTATTTTGGGGTTCACAATACTTTTAGAATGAAAATCTAGGCTAACTGGTCAAAGGGTTATCAAATAAGCTATCTTGCGTATTATAAAAATTAGAAAGTGAAGTGGATCAAAAGGAATTGCATAGAAAAATTTTAACTGACGGCATATCAGCCAGTATATTTTCTAGTATGGGTCTACAACTTACTAAATGTCAGCTACATTTGTGAAATGGGTCTTCAATAAACATTACTATCAAAATATAGTTAATTTCTTTCTTAATAAAGTAATGACTATACCATTACATACTTACCAAAGCAGATTGTCAGGCTTACCTCGTGGCACTGGGAGATGTGTTTGTAAATCATTAAACATTTGCTCAAATCATGTAGGAATCTGTTTAATCACATATTATAATTTACTTACCTCCTTAGACTTCAAGTGATTTGTTAGAAGATGTTCTCTCACTAATCTATGCTCTTCTATCAGATGAATAACTTCCAGTTCATCTTTTGTTCGCTTTACCTTCTCTACAGCTTCCAGATACTTTAATAATTTCTCACTCTCCACAGAAAGTGCCTTTTCCTTGTACAATTCATGCACCTCTTTCCAGCCCTTTGTAATATATTTGGTCACAATGGAAAGTCCTTAACAAAATAAAGAATAAAAAGGTTGAATTACCAGATTAAAAATAAAACAGGTTAAATGAGAAGAGAATATATGATGACGGTCATTATCAAGAGAGTTTAGAAGAGAAAAAAAAATCTATATCCAAAGTCATTTCACTAGAGGATTTTTTTTTTTGAGGCACCAGAATTAGAAATTTTGGTAGTACATTTACAAAATGATGTCTATATATACAACTATCTCAATTGGCTTCCAAAATTTACAAATAATCCACTTTTAATTAAAACAGCTTAATGTTTTATAAAAAAGATAATGATATACCTGTAGTACTTTATAAAATCAGGAGTAAGATAAAACATATTATCTATCTCAGAACAACTTACAAGTGTAACGGTACATCTTATTTTAATCATACTCAATTGACCATTTGAGGTGCTAAATAGTAGAGATAAGTGGAAGTGCACTTTTGATATGTAATTTTTATGTCTTTATAGATGAGAAAGTATTACAGGCCACATTAAAAAAAAGGAAAATAATAGTTGTTTTCATTCCTTTTATTACATGTAATAGAAACAGAGAAAATCTATGCCAGTAAATGAGCTGCAAGATCTTTCTAGGCCTTAACTCACATACCCACAAGAGGTGGGGACTGCATTTTTCTGTTTCAAATGTGCACAGGGTCAGGTGTGAAACAAGCACAGTGACACACTACGTGATTTCATAGGAAGTGGTCCTTGCTGGCTGGAAAACTGAGGAGACTATGTTCTCATTAGCGTTTTTGCCTCAACCAAATGAGAAAAAATTACATCCAAGAAAAGTTAAAACACGAATTTTCAAGTCATCGTATTTTTTAAATGGTGACAAAGAATTAACCGTCTCCACAATCATTGTGAAACCAAAATAAAACACAACTCTAAGCCATATTCAGTCAATGTGCTATTTCTGAAGTCTAATTTGAATCTTTTTTCAAAAGTCAACATATGCAGGACCATCTACATTTGAATGACTCTCGCTATTTTCCAGAACTGGGCACAAAACATTATACTGTCTAAATGACCGTGTGATAAAATGTTTCATGAATGTATGTATTCTATTGTCTTTTTAAAAGGCAAAATTAAATGAAAATAAAATTTAATGTTAGTCTTGTAAATTTAGGGAACATTTAATGCCTCATTTTATATACCAGGAAACAAAAGTCCAAATAATTATTTGCACACTTCACTACCATGCAGGAACTTCATGAACACATAAATAAATAAAGCTGGATTATCCCATGTCCTTTATATACAGATTTAAAAGTTCTACAGTAACAAATGAAATCATGACAATGCTGGAAAGAAACCATAGGTAAAGATTTTGGTCATCTTAATTGGAAAACTTTTCCCAAACCTGAAATAAAATCCCATGTCTATGAAGAAAAACAGATTATATTAAAATTCCAAACTTAAAAATACCCCTGCCCCCCAAAAAGAAAAAGACAAAGAATTAGGGAGAAATTTATAAACGACGAATTATTAACTCCCATGCTATGCATCTCAACAGTGCCTGTCCCCAACAGTGCTCACTAGTTCTTTGCTGGGTGAATGAGGGTAACCATCATCAATAATAAGAACAATAGCAACCCAATGGTTAAAAGGACAGATACAACAATAAAATCCACAGCAGGGGAAAAAATCATCACATCAAAAAAAAACTATCCCCAAGTGGAAATTCAAATAACAAGACATACTTTATTTTCCTGTTGAGTAAGATTAAAACATTGCTGATAGTCTTCATATGTGAAAAAACTGGCCACGCTCATATACTGCACATGGATTTATAAATTAGCTCTGTAATTTTTCTTAGTTATGGTTTACTTATTTATTTTTTGGGCTGGGGTTTCTTTCTTAAAAAATCATTTTATTGGGGACTCGTACAACTCTTATCACAATCCATGTATCCATAGTGTCAAGCACATTTCTACACATGTTGCCATCATCATTCTCAAAACATTTGCTTTCTACTTGAGACTTTGGTATCAGCTCATTTTTTCCTTTCCCTCCCCATCCCCCATGAACCCTTGATAATTTATAAATTATTATTATTGTCATATCTTACAAGATCTGACGTCTCTCTTCACCTACTTCTCCGCTGTCCATCCCCCAAGAGGTGACATATAATTCCTTATAATCTATTCACCCTTTCTCCCTCCCCTTCCCTCTACCCTCCCGTGAATTGTTTTAAAATATAAAATCTATGTCAGTTTTTTGTCTCAGTATTTATATTTATATCAATGATTACTGAAATATTAAATACACAATTAATTTTTCAGTATTCTGTAATAGTAAAACAAATGGAAATGATTTAATTGCCTGCTAGTAAGAGCCTCGTTAAATTATAGTACATTTCCAAAACTATGTCTACATATACAACTGGACTCCATACATCAATGTTTCAAGCACGTTTCTATTGGTCTTCAAAACTGACTAATAATCTACTTTTAATTAAAACATCTTTTTTTAAATAAAAAATATACATATAGTACTTTATGTTTAGTAAAAATAAGAAATCTGGTGTTAGAACACACTATATTCAGTATGTTTTTTTGAAGGGAGGGATTTATAATATCAGTATTCTACCATTTAAAAAAACGAATGTAATTTCTAATAAAAAATCAAAATAGGAACATGCTTGTGTATATAAATATTTTTAATAACGTATTATTAAATTTCACTTTAAAAATCCACTTAGAGTTAAGCAGTGATAAATTATAAATTACTGAGATGATTCTCTGCAAGAAGATACCATTATACAGTAAGAACTACAAAAGCCTGAACCTGCTATGATATTTGCCAGGGATGAAAAATTGAAATATTTGTCACTCATAGAGTGACAGAAAAGTACTAAGGGGCTTCAAAAAGTTCATGGAAAAATTAAAGATAATGACATTCTTCCATAAAGTTTTGAAGGCCCTTGTAAACTGTACTCAAAGGTGGAAAACTTAAAAGCCTGGAAAACAAAGTATTTCTATTGGGTTCCTGTTCTTTTAAGTCACCTTAAAAACACACGTGGAAGGGAAGGGAACAAACACTGCACTATTTTTTGCTGAAGAAGTGCTTATTCTCTAAGAAAAACTAAGTAATTACTGTAGATCTAATTAACTGCTCAAACGTCTCTTCCCATACATTAACAACACAATTGATGTCTAATGGATTCAGACTCTTAGCAACCCCTTAAACCTAAGGAAAAAATAAATCCTCCAGGTGATTGATTGAAGGTAATTAACATCTTAAACTTCTAGTTACTTTCAACACTATTTCAAATAGCCTTTAGGTTACAGAACACTGGGCTACTAATGTCAAGGTCAGCAGTAGGAACAGACCTGCCACTCTGGAGGAAGATGAGGCTGCTTGCTTCTATAAAGGCTTACAGCTTTGGAAAACTCTATTTAGGGTCGCTAAGTGTTACAATATACTCTATGGAGGTATGCGTCGGTGTGGGTAGATTATATAAGGAACCCTGGTGGCACTCTGGGTTTGGGTAGGTGTTGGGCTGCTAACCACGTGGTTGGGAGTTCAAACTCACCAGCCCTTTTGCAGCAGAAAAATTAAGCTATTTGTTCCTGTAAAGATTTAAGCCTCAAAAACTAGGGTTTCTACACTGTCGTACAGTCTTGGAATCAAAACATTGAGGTTGCATAAGTTCTGATGGAGTAGTGGGTCACAATGCCTGGCTACACCAGCAGTTTGAATCCAGCAGGAAAAAGATGAGGCTGGGCTGCTCATATAAAGTTTTACTGTCTTAGAAACACTATGTGGGCTGCTACAAATTGGAATTGATTTAATGGAAATGACGTAGTGAGTTAGTTATCTGTATGTTGGGCTGCTAAATGCAAGGTCTATAGCTTGAAGCCACCAGCTGCTCCTCGGGAGAACAAAGCTTTCTCATCCCATATTACAGTCGTGAAAACTCACAGGGCAAGTCCACCCTGTTCCACAGGGTCACTATTCGATGGAATCTATTAGATGACACTGAGTTTGGGCTTTGAGGTGGATTCAAAAATTAGTGGAAAAATGAAATTGAAATGAAAAGATAATACACTTTCCCCACAAATTTTTGAAGCCTCCCTGTACAGACACTCTGAAAGCTCAGGGGTTAAGAGTATGCCAACTAACCAAAAGGTCAGCAGTTTGAACTCCCCAGCAACTCTGTGGGAGAAAGATGTGGCAGCCTGATTCTGTAAAGATTTACAGCCTGAGAAACACTATGGGGCAGGACTGTTCTGTCCTATAGAATTGCTATGGTCAGAATTAAGTTCTATGTGTGTGACAGGGTTGTAACTTCTCTTATTTATACATATACATATATATATATAAATATGTACTGAGCAAATAATCAGATAAGACTGACTATAGCGAAAATGTGGCATCAGAGGAAGGCTTATTAACATTTGGTGATATGCAGATGACATAACCTAATTGCTGAAAGGACTGGAAGCACTTGCAGCTTTCAGTATGGATTAGAACTCAATGTAAAGAAGACCAAAATTCTTACAACTGGCCAATATCTAACAGCACGATAAATGGAGAAAACGTTGAAATTGCCTAAGATTTTGTTTGCTTGGATACACAATCAATGCTCATGGCAGCAACAGTCAATAGATCAGAAGATGAGTTGCATTAGGTAAATCTGCTGCACAAGACCTCTTTAGAATATTGAAAAACAAGGATGTTACTTTGAGGACTAATAAGGTGGACCTGACAAAGCCATGGTATTTTCAATTGCCTCATATACATGTGAAAGCTGGACACCGAGTAAGAAGATAGAAGAGTAAAATAATAAATTCATTTAAATTGTGTGCTGTAGAATAATAATGAAAGTACCATGGGCAGCTACAAGGACAAACCGATCTGTTTTGGAAGAAGTATGGACAGAGAGCTCCTTAGAAGCAAGGATGGCGAGACTTCATCTTACATACTTTGGACATGTTGTCAGGTGAGATCAATTCCCTGGAAGCCATCACGCTTGGTAAAGTAAAGGATGACAAAAAAGAGGCAGGCCCTCAAGGAGAAGGACTGGTAGTGTGACTGCAACAATGGGCTCACACACGGGAACAGTTATGAGATGGCGCAGGACAGGCAGTGTTTTCTTCTGCCTTGCATAACAGGGTCGCTATGCGTTGGAACGTGACTCCACAGCGCTTACCAACAGCAAGTCTATGAACTTACAAGGTAAGTCAAAGAGTATTGCTACAAAATCACAGAAATCTTACTGAGTGAAAATATAAATATGTGATGCTACCATTTCTCAATAAATCCTTCACTTAGCTCTATATACTTCCAGAAGCAAGGTTTCCATCTCCCTAACACTTCTCAGAGGTAATGGAAAGGAAGATAAAGATAGCATGATAGAATCTTACAAGATCAAAAACTTCTTCAGATATAGACTTTGCCAGATGGAAAACAGGAATAAAAATTACTTTATCTATAGGAAGAGATGGAACAGTCCAGTATTAGTTAAAACAAGGTCGGGGGCCTGACTGTGGAACAAACTATCAATTGCTCACATACACTTAGCAAAGGCTGAAGTTGAAGAAATTAAAAACAAGTCCATGAGATGTAAAATATGACCTTTAGTGTACCCCACCTGAATTTACCTGTCATCCCAATAACGTATTTGACACACTGAACACTAATGAAGATGAATTGTGGGAGGACATCAGGAACACCAAACATAAAGAAAGCAAATGGCCTTTAAAAATCAGGAATGAAAAAGACAAAGACTCTGAAACTTACTCTTGAATGCAGAGTAGCTAATTTCAAAAGGAAGCTCAAGAAGACCCAAAGACCTAGAATTAATAAGCCAAAAGGGAAGAACATGCTCAGAGTATCTCAAGTTGAAATGACTTAAGAAAAAATTCAAGCCCTGAGATGCAACACTGATAGATTTTATGGGCAAAATAGTTAACAATGCAGAGAGCATCAAAAGATGATGGAGAGAACAGTCACTGTATCAAATAATTAGTTTCAGCCATTTCAAGAGGTAGTGCATGGTTAAGAATCGACAGTATTAAGGCAGAAGTATAAGCTACACTGAAGGCATTAGTAAAAAACAAGGGTCCAGAAATGCGCAGAGTATCAATCAAACTGTTTCCACTTACTGATACAGTTATGGAAGCACTCACTAGTGTGTGGCAAGGAATTTGGAAGACTGGCCAACTCACTGCCAGGCATTCAATACTTGTGCGCATTCCAAGAATGGTGACAACAGAGTGCAGCATTATCCAAAAACATCTAAGTAAAATCTTGCTGAAGATAATGTAGATCATAACTATGAACAACAGGAATTTAAGAATACAAATTATGCTTATACACAACCTATGCATACACCAAGAATTATTTGTTAGAAGAATAAGGGGATATTGAGTGGTTTAAAATCAGAAAAGGTGTGCATCAGGATTGTAGTCTTTCGTTATACTTATTCAATCCGTATGCTGAGCAAATAACCAGAGAAGCTAGACTTTAGTATGGATTATAACTCAACATGAAGAATATAAAAATCTTCAGAACTGGACCAAAATTGACCTCAAGAAAAACAGAAAAGAATAAAGTTGTTAAGGATTTCAGTTTATTTCAGTCCACAATCATGCTCATAGAAATCAGTGAAGAAATAAAATGATAAATTACCAAAGAACTCTCTTAAGTGCTAGTTAGCAAAGTGTACCTAACCTAAGCCACGGTGTTTTCAATTGCCTGACAGGCATGCAAAAGCTGTACAATAAGCAAGGAAGACTAGAGAATGGAAACCCTTGAATTATGGTGCTGCCAGAGAATATTGAGAAGTGTCATGGACTGCCCAAAGAAAACCCAATCTGTCTTACCAAAGGACAGTTGGAATGCTCTTTAGAAGACTGAATGGTGACACATTGTCTCATCTACTTTGGATATTTATCAGGAGAGACCAGTTCCTGGAAAAGGACATTAATTCTGGTAGAGGATCAGTAAAAAATAAGGGCCTTAATGAGACGGATTGACAGAGTGGCTACAATGGGCTCAAAACTATGAGGATGGTACAGAACTGGACAGTTTTGCTTTGTTGAACATACGGTCACTATGCTTTGGAGTCTAGCAACAACAAAAAACCTTTTCCTATAAACAATCCAGAGGAGAAAACAATGAGGACCAATAGTTCACGGGAGAGAGGGAGGCAGGGGAAAGGAAGTGGGTGCTAACAAACCCAGGGATTGGGGAACAAAAAGTGATCTAAAATCCATAGTGAGGAGGGTGTAGGATGCCCGGTAGGGCTTGATCAAGGGTAATGTCACTGAGAGAAATTATTGAAACCCGAATGAAGATGGAATATGATAGTGGGACAAGAGAAAAGTAAAAGGAAAGAGGAAAGAATTAGGAGGCAAAGGGCATTTATAGAGGTCTAAATACACGCATGTACATATGTAAATATATTCACATATAATGATGGGGGAATAGATCTATGTACATATATTTTTAGGTTTAGCATTAAGGTAGCAATGTGGTGAAGAAAGCTAATGGTGCCTGGCTATCAAAAGATATAGCATCTGGGGTCTTAAAGGCTTGAAGGTAAATAAGCGGTCATCTAGCTGAGAAGCAGCAAAGTCCACATGGAAGAAGCACATCAGACTGTGTGATCATGAGTTGTCGATGGGATCAGGTATCAGGCATCAAAGACTCAGAACAAAAAATCTTATTCTGAATAACAGGGAGTGCGAAGTGGAGACCCAAAGCTCATCTACAGACAATTGGACATCCCCTTACAGAACGGTCAACAAGGAAGAGGTGAGCCAGTTATGGTGCAGTAATGCAGTATTGAAACATACAACTTTCCTCTAGTTCTTTAAAGATCCCTACCCCCCACTATCCTGGCATCAATTCTACCTTACAAATCTGGCTAGACCAGAGCATGTACCCAGGTACATACAAGAGCTGAAACACAGGGAATCCAGAACAGATAAACCCTTCAGGACCCATAATGAGTAGCGATACCAGGAGGGTAAGGGAAGGTGAGGGTTGAAAGGGGGAACCGATCGATCACAATGATCTTTATATAACCCCCTCACAGGGGGATGAACAACAGAAAAGGGGGTGAAGGGAGTTATCGGTCAGTGTTAGACATGAAAAAAATAATAATTTATAAATTATCAAGGGTTCATAAGGGAGGGAGGGAAAAAAATGAGGAGCTGATACCAAGGGCTCAAGTAGAAAGAAAATGTTTTGAAAATGATGATGGCAACAAATGTGCTTGACAATGGATATATGTATGGATTGTGATGAGTTGTACGAGCCCCCAATAAAATGATTTAAACCACCTCCCCCAAATTTCATGTTCTTTGATCCACATCAACTGTGTTATGCCAAAAATTGTTTGCTATTCATTAAAACACTTCATTCCTCCCCCACAATGAAGATCTTGTGCCTACCTTCAGTGGAAGGTTTAAGGTGTGACAATCTTAACAAATCTTTGTGAGACCAGCCATTTCTTTGTTTATATTTTGTAACTGCCAGAGCAAGGGCCATGCCACCTTTTTCATTGTACCAGTCAGCAACAGCCTTCCGGAGCGCACGACCCCACATTCCACATTTCATGCTTTCCTTAAGATCCTTCTTAAACTGAATAAAAGTAAAGAGATGGGTAGGAACACGACAGATTTCAGAAACAGCTTTAAATGCTGCTTGTTTTGTGCTTATGTCGGAACACTGGGAACAAACGGCAAGTGCGAAGAGCATTGGCTCTGCCTTTGCGGTTCTGCCTTCTCGACTGAACAACTTTATTTCCTGTATCACTTCACACCCTCTGCCTTCTTCGATCAACCTCATCAGAGCTTCAGCATTTTCAAGGCCCAGCTTCTGTTCTTTGATATAGTAAGTTCCACCTTCAGAACCGAAACATAAGAACCGCTGTAGTCGAGTCATATCAGTGACTTGCCACACACAGCCATCTTCGGAATTGTTTATCTGCTTCTCGTTCAGTGGTTGCACTTGGTTTACAGATGCCTCCATTTTTTACTTTCTCTTAGGAAACCTATCCGGGAAAAAAAAAAAAAACCAGAAAAGAAAAAGAAAGCATATG